TTCTATTTTAGTAGAGACAGGGGTCTTGCTTTTGGTCAGGCTGGTCTCAAATTCCTGAGCTGAAGCAATTCACCCACCTCAGCCTCCCAGAGGCTAGGATTACAGGCGCGAGCCACCATGCTCAGTCCTAGTTTTTCTATTTTCAGTAGAGACTGGGACTTGCTCTTGCTCTGGCTGGTCTCAAACTCCTGAGCTCAAGGGATCCTTCCACCTTGGCCTCCCAGAGTGCTAGGGTTAGAGGCAAGAGCCACCACGACCAGCTCCTCCCTGGCCTCGTGCTCCCTCCAGGACTAGGTAAGCTCCGGAGTCCTTGTCTGGCCCCGCCTGCACCTTTCAGCCTCTGCTCCTCCTAGAAGGTCCCTGCCCCTAGATCCCAGTCTCAATCTGGAGGCCCCCTGAGGAGCTCTGTGGGGGGCGGTCACAGGCGTGGCTCCAGCTGCTCCTGGGACTGGGGGGCCTGGCCAGTTCTGTGGTCAGGACTTTCCCAGGGGGATAAGCCTGCTGCCTTCTCCTAGGCTGTATAGCACAGAACTGTCTTCTGAGGAAGAGGCGTTCTCCTGGGCCCCTGCTGCCCCTGGGCCTCAGGTATGCCCACCAGAGTCACAAGAGGGGGTGGGTTTTAGTTTGAGGCCCAGTGCTTCACCTGGCCCTCTGTCTGGTTTTGGTTTCTCCCAATGCCAATTTGGGTGAGAGCTGGACTTCTGGATTTAGAAAATCTTCCTATGAGTCTTGAGAGAATTTAGGGATGGGAAATGGAAGCTCAGGCCCCCAGCAGGGTGTCTTCCGCTGGGCTGGGGACATCTGCCTGTGGAAAGCTGGGCCAGCCCTCTCTGCTGCCTTGGGAGGAGGGGCTGGGGCCTAGGCCACCCACACCCCACCCTACTCTCAGCCTTGCTGGGTGCCCGCTGCCCCTTGGGGAGCCTATTTGACCTTTGGTTAGACAGATGGGCAGACACATGCTAGGGGAGGCTGGAGTGTAGTCCCCAGGGGTCACTGCTGGCTCCCCAAGGCCCCAAGGGGAGGCTTAGCTCATGTGTTCCACCCCAGGAGAGAAGAGGCCTTGATTGCAGGGTGTCCAGTGTGGCTCAGCCCAGTGGATGGGACTGGGGGGCTTCCTTGGCAGATGGGCCTGGGCCCCTGCCCCACCACATGTGATGGGAATATTCTGTATCTGTGACCAGTGCCACCCATCCCTGGGCCAGCTCCTGAGGCCCCTTAGCCCTCCCAGCTTAGCTGTCTCCATCAGGAACCCTGTACTGTGACCTAAGCTCCCTTCCCACAGGGTGTCAGAGTGCCCAGAGGGTGTCGAGCTAGGCCAGCAAGGAGGGTGGGGCTGTTGCCTACTTGTCAAAGGACTGAAGGGTGGGGGTGCTGGCAGGAGGGAGTACAGGGAAAGCATGTGGGGGGTCAAGCCAGGAACAGGAGATGCCTAGATTTAGGCTGCAGTGGTCAGGGTAGAGGGGGGTGCTGCTGTGGACACTGGGCATACCTGGGGATGTGGTGGGGGGGTCCCTGTAAGACCACCCGCCAGGCCCTCTGCCTCTCCAGGGCTGGTGGGAGGTGTCTCTGTACTTTTTCGTGCAAGATGAAGGGTTTTTTTTTTTATATCTTTTTTTTTTTTTGAGACAGCCGCAAGCTCTCCCCCTGGGTAGAGTGCTGTGACATCACAGCTCACATCAACCTCCAACTCCTGGGCTCAAGCGAGTCTCCTGCCTCCGCCTCCCAAGTAGCTGGGACCACAGGCGCCCACCACAACGCCTGGCTATTTTTTTTAGTTGCAGCCGTCATTGTTGTTTGGTGGGCCCGGGCTGGATTCGAACCCGCCACCTTAGGTGTATGTGGCTGGCACCTTAGCCACTTGAGCCACAGGCACCCAGCCAAGATGAAGGGTTAAATGCTGTCACACCGTTGTCTCCAGGTCTGCCATGCCTGGGTGGGGACAACCCTTTCACACTGGTATCTGGGACGACCCCTGTGTTAGTGGGGAGGGTGTGGGGACTCCATTTCTAGATTATCTCCCGGACACTGTCTGCTTCTAAGTTGAGATTCTCTCAACAGGGACAGGGCAAACACAACCGAGGAGACCTCAGCCTGGGGCTCGCTGGGAGGCTCGTTGGCAGGACGCTGCCCTTGGGAGGGGACTGAGTCCAGGGGAGGGGAGCTCTTCCTTCTGTCTCCATGTTCTTCTTCCCCATTGGGGGTCATACCTGCCACTTGCTGCCATAGCCACGGGGACCCCAAGGGTCGCTGCTGTCCCCTGCACAGACTAGAAGGATGTCCACAGGGGAAATGTAGCAAATGAGAACCTTGCGCCACATAGGGGGCCTTCCCTGGTGCATCTGTGATAATAATTCAGCCAACCGTACCGAGTCCTCCAGACAATCTAACCCACCTAATTTAACAAAACCCTAACAAGTGAGGTGCCACTGTTATCCCAGCTGGACAGTTAGGTGACTTGTTCCAGGCCCCATAGCAGGTGAGTGGCAAGTCCAGACTCAGAGCTAAGCAGGCTGGCTCCACCCCGTCAGTTTTCTTTGATACATGACATGGTCACCCTGGAATCCTGGCTTTATGCAGGGACCCCTGCGCCTCCCCACCCTGCTCTGTGTAAAAGCCTCTCTGGGCTGCTCTTGAGAGACATGCAGCCCCCTGGGAAGGGCTGGGATAGATGCCTTCAAGTTGCCCCTTTGTTTTTTAGGAGAACGAGGAGGCTGCCTGGGTGGGGAGTCTCTGGAGAAGATTCTGTGGCTACAGGTGCCTGCAGAGTGCAAGGGAGACCCCAGTTATTTCGCTGGCCCTTTCAGCCAAACTCTCCCATTCTTTTGACGCCACGTCCCCAGGTGAGGCTTGGGGCTCTCATCTGCTGCCAGACGGTAAGTCCTGGCCCCATCCAGCAGACCTGCTGATTTCAGGAGAGTCCTGTAGCTTATTCCCTTTGAGAGCATCTTGGGAACTAAAATCCCATTCTCTTGGGGGTGGGGGGTGGGGGGTGGGGGGAGGCATTCTGGGGAACTCTGGGCTGAGGTGGGGGACACTGGAGGAATTAGGCTCTGGAGTGCCCTGCAGAGCAGTGGAGGCCCAACCTCTGTGAGGACGCAGATAAGGCCTGGGACGAGGAGGGGCAGGTGAAGTGTGGGGGCCCTGCTGGAGGTGGGGGTCCTTACTGGGATTGGCCTTGAAGACAAACAGGGAGGACTTGGTAGGGCAGGAATGGAACCCACAGCTCCTGGCAGAGGTCTGGCCTGGGCAAAGGTCTCGGGGATGGACAGCCTGCCTGTGTTCTGGGAGTCCTGACTTTAGACTGTGCCCTGGGGGGAGGGCCCTGACTCTAGTCCCCACCCACCCGTGGCAGAGCCATGAAGAAGAGGTACCTGTTGCTGGGCCTGCTGGCCGTGGTCCTGGTGGTGGCAATCGTCAGCCTGTGCCTCTGGCTGCCCTCAACCTCCAGGGAACCCAGCCACCATGTGTATCCCAAGGCAGCCGTGGCTGCAGATGCCAAGTGCTGCTCAGAGATTGGGAGGTGAGTGGGACTACTGAACCCGGCAGGGAGTGGGGAGGCCTGGGGACGTGGCCCTGGAGGAAAACTGTACACATGGACTAGGCAGAACCCTCGCCCCTCCAAGACTCAGTTTTCCCACCTGTAAATAGGCTGCCCAGAAAAGGGGTATCCGATGTACATGGAGATGGCTGTTCTTTCCTTGGACCCTCTTTGTGGACTCTGGTCAGGGGAGAGGAGATATGAGAGGGGGTGATAGTTTCCCAGAGCTCAGCAAGGCCCCTTTTCTCAATTCTTTTTTGTTCGAGGCAGTCTCAAGCTGTTACCCTAGGTAGAATGCTATGGTATCATAGCTCACAGCAACCTCCAACTCTTGGGTTCACCTTGCCTCGGTTTTTCTATTTTTAGTAGAGATTGGGTCTTCCTTTCCTCAGGCTAGTCTTCAACTCATGAGCTCAAGCAAACCACCCACCTCAGCTTCCCAGAGTGTTAGGATTACAGGCGTGAGCCACCGTGAGCCACCATGCCCGGTCATCCCTTTTCTCAATTCTAAAAGTTTCTGTTTCTTTGGACAAACTCCATTGTTTAGTCCTGTTTTATTTATTTGTTTATTTTTTGTTGTTATAGTTTGGGCAGGGATGGGTTCGAACCCGCCACCCTTGGTATATGGGGCCGGTGCCCTACTCACGAAGCCACAAGTGCTGCACTGTTTTATCCTATTTTAGACTCTTATCTCACATCACATATTAAGATCACTTCCCACCTAAAGACTTACACAGAAAAAATACCATTAATAAAATATAGCAGTCTTGGCTGGTCTGAGTGCAGTGGTGTTTACAACTAAGTGATCACAACCAGTGACAGATTCCTTTGTTCCCTCTCCATTCCCACTGCTTTACTGATTAGCCTTTAAAAAAATTAAAAGATAGGGCTGTGCTTGTGGCTCAAAGGGGTGGGGCTCCGATCCCATATGCTGGAGGTGGGGGGTTCAAACCCAGCCCCGACCAAAGAC